TAAGTGTATGTGACCAGACACGTCCGGTCGCCACACCGGACGCGTTCGGTGTAAATCAACGAAGTCGATGTTCAGTGTAACTGTTGATCGGACGCTGGGAGCGTCCGGTCCGGAGTGATCAGACGCGTCCGGTCGGGCCTGGGAGCTTACTGGACTCGACCGGACGCTGAGGCTCAACGTCTGGTCATTTTCTAACAGCGCGTCCAGTCGGCCCTGGGAGCTTACTAGACTCGACCGGACGCTGCGGCTCAGCGTCCGGTCGTTTCGAACAGCGCATCCGATGTGACATGTCAGAGAGAGCCGTTGGTGGCAATGGGTAGTTTGAATGGGACACGTTGCGGGTCAGCTGCGACTGGACGCCGGCAACCAGACGCGTCCGGTCACAACCGGACGCGTCCGGTGCAAACGACTTGCGCGTCCGGTCGTCTCGAAATTTGCCCAGTGAAGGGGTAACGGCTAGTTTAGCCCATTGGGCTATAAATAGAAGGTGGTCTCGGCCATGGCTGGTGTAGAGCACCTCAGAGGACTTTATGTCCATGCTTGAGAGTGCTTGGGAGCCCTCTAACTCACGTATGCTTGATAGTGATCATCCGATTGCATGAGTGAGTGATTCTAGTGATATTACATCATAAGGTTGCATCGAGTGGCACTAGATGGTCGTCTTGCAAGGCGGTGGTGCTTGTTACTCTTGGAGGTTGCCACCTCCTAGACTGCTTGGTGGTGGTCTCCGTCGAAGCCCGCAAGAAGCTTGTGCGGTGCTCCGGAGAAGAGCTCTGTGAGGGGCATTGTGCTCGCTCCGCGGGAGCCACGAAGAGTAACTCTAGTAAAGCATGTCATTGAGCTACCCTCACTTTCGGGGTAGTTTCTTGCGGTGCCCGACGTGCGGGCTTGGTTGGTGATGCCAATTAGCCGCCGAACCACCAAGTGAGCGGTCGACAAAACGGGGACTAACGTGTTGGCAAGCACGTGAACCTCGGGAGAAAAATCACCGTTTCAACTTTGTTCTTCCCGTTGATTTGCAATCCCCTTTTATAAGCTTGTATTTATATTTCATATACATTGTACTTGTGTAGTTGCTCTTGTAATTAGTTAGCTTATGTAGGTTACTAGTTACCTTCTTGCTTGTGTAGCATAGAAGTAGCTCCCTTGCGTGGTTAATTTGGTTTGTGTAACCTTGTTAGTCAAATTGCTTAGTTTTTTGTAGCAAAGTAATTACGCTCTCTAATTTGGCATTGGTTGCCTTGTTATTGAGCATTGCTAGTGAGCTTATTGGCTTTGTACTTTTGCTTACTAGCATGTATAGGAGTTGCCTCATTCCTTGAAGTACTAGTGGCATAGGTTTGTGTGACATTGCTTCTAGAATTAGTAAGGTGAGCTCTAGCTAGCCCGGTACCTTAGTTTGTGTGATCTTTGCAAGGTGCTAGTGAACATAGATAAATGGGTGTAGTCTTGGCTAGTCCGATTGTTCTAATTCCATACTAGTTCGGTTAGCCGACACGATTAATTTTAGGAAGAACTATTCATCCCTTCTCTAGTCCGCCATCTCAACCCTACAGTTAGCCTACGTGTACTTGTCATGAAGGTTTTGGGGACTGAGAGAGCTCTAGGACAGATTTTGGACGGTGGCCATTTTCTTATTGGAGAAATTTTAGTTGGACCCTATTCACCCCATCAGATCGCCTGTTCGATTCTTCATTTAGTACTGCAGTGATTATTTTGATTCTCACGGGTTGGTGGCCGGGCTAGGATCTTTCTAATGCAAGATTTTGTTTACAGTTACTGAGTGACACATGGTGAGTTGGTGTGTTGAATAATTATATTCAATGCCCTGGTGTGCTAAGCATGTGTGTGTATATTGCACTAATGGACTAATGCAACTATAGTCACCTTGCCCCAAGGTACTTGTGCCCATATGCTCATGTTCTCTGTCATTGTTAAGCCTTGTTACTTACGAATTTTCTGAACCTCATGGAGAATGAGGAAACACAAATATATCCTACATTGACCTCTAAGTATATAAGATTCAGCATTCACTAATCTAAGGACGTGTTTGACTGCCCTCCAGCTCTAGTACCAAAGCGGCAGGAGGAGGAGTGTTTATGTGCTACAGACAAAGGAGCCAGAGCCCTTTTTGGCATACGGAGGCGGAGCCAAGGTTTTCAACTCCGGTGCTGTGGCTCTGGCTCCGGGGAAGAAGTGGCACGAGAGGAGGCTGACCAAACACGCCCTAAATCGTTTTTATAGTCTCCTGACAACTATTTTTTATTTTGGATTGGCTGGAGTAGCTTGAACTGCACACGTTGACATGTATATACTCGATAAAAGATGAACTTGGTAACTGAACTATGCTACCATGTGAAGCACCTGCACCCTGCACTTGGAAGATGAATTAGGCTAGCACAGTATACCATACAGTCATGGAAAACATATGCCCTGAAAAGATGTTGTCCTTGTCATCGCATCGTGTCTGTTGTGTGCGCACGAGTGCTGTTCTGTAGTAAAATCGAAGCCAAGCAACGCGTACCTCCTAACCATCAGTTTCGCCTCACAATTCCATTAAATATTTAATTATTTTTTCCCGAACTGATGGCGGTTGAGCTGAACGCAAGTAAACAAAGGACGGCCAATGTGCAATTACTTTGCTACTCGTAGTAGTGACCAGCCGGTGGCTCCTCGTTCAAAGATTTGTTTGTAATTAAGAAGCATTTTTTTCATTTTGAAACTAAGACAAGCTTTTAGCCTATAGTACTCCCTCCGTCCACGATAAATATACAATTATCCTTTTCAAGAACTTAAATGGTTTAAATTTTAACTAAATTCGTATAAAAAAATATTAACATTCATGATACAAAACAAGTATCATTTAGATTAGTTATAGAATATATAAATTTATTTGGAGACACAAATGCTAATACTATTTACTCCCTCCATACTAAAAAAATAAAGTCGTTTTAGACAAGGCTTGGGTCAAACATTAGAAATATAAATCATGAATAACTTTTAAGTTGTTGAGTTTGAAAATGTGAAAACCATATGTATAGATTTATCTTGAAAAATACTTTCACAAAAATTTACATATATCACTTTTTGATAAATATATTTATAAAAAATAAGAAGTCAAAGTTATGCTTTGGAGACCGTATCGTTGTCCAAAAACGACTTTATTTTTTAGTATGGAGGGAGTACTATAAAATTGATCAAACTAGTAACGTTCTTTTGTAAGCAGAGGAAGTACTTGCTATGAGAGAACACTACTACAAATGTGGTTTATTATCATTGTTACCAGTAACATTATTACTACAGCTTGCATCAAAACTACTAGAAGTGATAAGCTGTCGTTGCTTTGAAATCAACAGCGGTAATTCGTTATCCCTGACAGCTGCTTTATTACATACTATCACTGCTGGTTGTTGTTAACTGTGAGACCGCCGTTGGTACTGAGAGAGAAGGCACCGGCCGTCCATATCGCGCTCAAGTCGCGAGATCAGTAGTGAGCCACGGATAACGTTGCCCGACATGCTAAGTAGTGCCGCCTCGTGGTTTTCTCTCTCGTCCCCGTCACAATTTAGGTAAGTCTTGCATTGACTTCATCCAGAAATAACTCATTTAAAACCTGAAATTATTTAATTTTGCTTTCTTCCTTATTTACACTAGTAGTACTTGAAGGTTCAAAGTTTCAGGTGGTAAGTTTCAAACGTTATTTATTTCTTTATAAAAGAAATTAAGGTTCCAAATATCTAACGCAAAAACTCTATATCAGCTGCAAGACATTGAAATCATTTTTTCTTAAAAATATGTTTGATCTTGTATTTTTTTTCATCTGAAAATTATACAAGAAATCAAGCTGATTGATTCGTTAAGAAAACACCCTGAATGCTAGGAGTTTCTTATGTTATAACCTGGAAGAATCTATCCGACCACTGAATTCCAATATTTCATTTTTTTCAACCATCTACTCTATAAATATATTGGCCTGATTGTATCTATAAATTGCGCTAACAAAATCAGTTGCTATGGGAGGTTCCAACACCCTCATTGCACCACCTTTATTAAAACTTACACCTAGATACACTTTATAGGTCCAAATCATAAGTTGTTTTAGTTCCATCTGAAGTCTAACTTTTCTGGATCAAAGTTTATAAGAAAATATGCAAATATTTAAAAGCCAATTATTAACTGGTTTTGCTAGCTATGTACACTGAAATGACTGCAGATCGTCGATCTAGATGACCATTATCATATATTATCTTATATGAGGTAATAGCAAAAATATATATATATATATATACTTATTTTCTCTCTCTCTTGAGAAATAGGAAAGATAAAAAAAATATTAGGCAAGGTATCCATTAGCTAGACCTAACATACATCGCATGGATATAATTTACATTCTTGATCTTATTAGATTTAGCTTTTCTGCGTGATTAATAATGTGATAAGTCGGTGACATGACTTTTTCTCGTAACATTGAAAACCTAATATGCAGATGCATGATAAACTTGCTTGTAAAACTTTTCTCGTTTTGTTCACCTGAAATAACATATTTGCATAGTACAGTTTTTCAGTACAAAGAGTCATGCAATTTGAAACTAATGGTTCAAAGAACCAACCCAGAGCAATTTTATGGCCTTTAATTTGCATGCCAGATGGTCATATCACACATAACTTTGTAGCTACGACATATACTCCAATCATTCTAAATTATAAGACATTTTAGCTCGCCCCGGCGTCCGCGGCGGCGGTTCTGTGATTTGTCTTTCCATAGAAAAAATATGATATGTGATCTATAGAGGCTGGAGGCTGGAGGTAGAAGGGTGGAGGCTGTTGGATTTTAATCCTATGGTGAAAAAAAATTTATGTGTTAAAACTATATAAAACACATGGTTGTGTAGTAGACAGACTCTATATCTTTGTGCCTTTGTAGTCCGAAGTTGACGGTGAAAGATACTAGAGGACGATACTATTGTAACTGTAAGCATGGAAAGGGGAACATGTTCACCATGGCCAACCTTGGAAACAATCCTCCGGGTTCTAGACAGGTGAAGATATCACCGCTCACACAACGCAAGGCCAAGCCAACCCGCCTCCGGGCACCCCATGGCATGGGCAATCTTGGCGCGAATCCGGCGAACTCGTGCCCGCTCACGCTGCTGGGCTTCCTGGAGCGTGCGACCACCGTCTTCGGCGACTGCCCCTCCGTTGTGTACCACGACACGGTGTTCACCTGGTCCCAGACACACCGACGATGCCTCCGGCTCGCCTCCGCGCTTGTCTCCCTCGGCATCTCCCGCGGTGACACCGTAAGCCACCCTCCATCGAGATTCTCCTTGTTTATGCATGTTTTTGCTTCGATGGAACGTGGAATTAACGAGGCCATGAATCGGACTGCATATATAGGTGTCCTTGCTGTTGCCGAACGTCCCGGCCATGTACGAGATGCACTTTGGCGTGCCCATGAGTGGCGCCGTGCTCAACAACATCAACACCCGCCTGGACGCGCGCACAGCCGCCGTCCTGCTTCGCCATTCTGGCTCCAAGCTCGTCTTCGTCGACCCGGCGTCTCTAATGCTCATCAGAGACGCGCTCCGGCTACTCCCGCTGGGGTACCCGATCCCGCGCGTGATCCCCGTCGAGGATCCTCATGAGGAGTTCCCGGGTGCCCCTGCGGACACGTTAACGTACGAGTGGGACCCAATTGTTCTGAATTACACCTCCGGCACGACGTCGCAGCCCAAGGGCGTGGTGCACTACCACCGCGGGACCTTGTTCACACTTGACTCGCTCATTGAATAGGCGGTTCTGCCGAGGCCGACGTACCTATGGACGCTCCCCATGTTCCACGCCAATGGCTGGATTTTCCCGTGGGGGATGGCTGTGGTGGACGCCACCGACGTCTGCCTCCGCCGCGTCAACGCTGCCACCATGTACGCCGCCATGGCAAGCCATGGGGTCACCCACCTCTGTGGCGCGCCTGTCGTGCTTAACATGCTGGCCAACGCCCCCGAGGGCGTGCGACGGCCACTCCCAGGAAAGGTGCGCATCCGCATGGCTGGCGCGCCACCGCCAGCAGCAGTGATACAGCGCACAAAGGCCATTGGCTTCGAGATCAGCCATGGGTAAGCGCTAACCGAGACCATGGGCCTGCCGGTGTCCTGCACTTGGAAGGTGTGAGTGGGACAGCTTCCCAACGTCGGAGCGTGCACGACTGAAGGCGAGGCAGGGCGTGCGCACGTCGAGCACGGGCAAAGTCGACATCATCGACAGGGAAACCGGCAGTAGTGTGCCCCGCGACGGCTCCACGATGGGAGAGATCGTGTTCCGTGGCGGCTGCGTCATGCTCGGCTATCTCAATGACGACGAGGCGACAAAGGCGGCAATACATGAGGACGGGTGGTTCTACACGGGGGACATCGGCGTGATGCATCCGGACAGTTACCTGGAGATCCGAGACTGTTCCAAGGACGTGATCATCAACGCTGGCGAGAACATCAGCAGCGTGGAGGTCGAGTCGGTGCTTTACAGTCATCCGGCGGTGAACGAGGTAGCCGTGGTCGCACGACCAGACGAGTTACGAGGCGAGACACCGTGCGCGTTCGTCAGCCTCAAGGACGATGCGGCGGGCACGGTGACCGCGACGGACTTCACTGCGTGGTGCTGGGAGCGCATGCCACAGTACATGGTGCCCCGAACGGTTGTCTTCGGAGCTGAGCTGCCCAAGACCTCCACCGGCAAGATCCAGAAGTACGTGCTTCGGAACCTCACCATGGAGGTGGGGCCGACCCGCAAGGGCGACGGCCGACGCTAGCGGCAGGCCGTAGCAAATAGCAATAAGGTGTACTCTTTTTTTTTGCGAGTAAGCAATAAGGTGTACTCCCTCCCTCCCTTCTCAAGGATCACCTACATTTTAGATTTATAGAAAATATCAGTAACATTTGTATCTCCAAATAAGTGTATTACAAAAATATTTTCAATGAACAATCTAATGATACTTATTACTCCATCCGTTTCAAATTATAAATCGTTCTAATTTTTTTGGTTCAATCATTTTGCTATATATCTAAACATATTATTATATCTGGATGGACAGTAAAATGAATATACCGTAAAGGTAAAAGCGACTTATAATTTGGAACAAAAGGAGTATATACTATAAATGTTAGCAAATAGATGTACCAAAAAAAAAATCAAAGCGACTTATATTTGATCAAAGTTGTGTAGGTTTGACTCTTCGATGTGTGAGAAAGGCACTTACAAGGGGACGGATGGAGTAGTGGTTGCCGATTGCTGTCATCCTTGGCATGGGCATGTGGCCTGCTTGGTCTATTTTCTTGGTTGGCGACAGCAAACTCTCTCCCTCACAGAGTGGCTCGTTTGGTAGAGCTACAATTTTAACTAAAATAGTTCTGCTTATTTGGTGGAGCAGTTTTTTTTTGGGTCCACTTCATACATGAACCCAACTGTCATTGGGTTCACCCTTTTATTCCCTTATATCTCTCATCTCTCCGCATCTCTCTCATGGATCTCTCACGCCCGCATCTCTCTCATAGATCTCTCTCGCCATCCCCAATCCCTGCGCGACCACACCGGCACCGGCCCTCCTCCATCGGCACTAGACTCCTCCACCGGCGTCGGCCCCTCACCATATGGCACTGTGACGGAGTGCAAATTATGTTGTCGCTAGGTGCAGCGCACGAGGAAGCCGGAGTTGTGGGTGGTTCCTCCTCGGCTCCTCCGGAGTGTGAGTAAGGCAGGGTCCACGAGAGCGAGATGGAGCTGGTTGAAGCTCAACCTTTTCAGCTCCTCCATGGCGTTTTAGCTCCAGTCGACGGGCGAGACCTTTTTTGGTGGAGCTATTGGCTGTGCTGCCATTTGGTTGGTCGCATGGTGAAGTGGCTCCTGGAGCGGTCAGATGTCGTATTTTGAAGAGTTAATAGATCTTAACTTTAACTAAATAAATACTCTGTCTTGACATCCTTCAACACTGTCTACGCTCCATCGCATGTACACTTACTTGTCGATGTCGCCAAGTGCTAGCCGTCCACGCGGTCCATTCTCCGGCCCTCAGTCCCTTAGTCCATGCCTCTATGCCCGACCTTCACTGCTCCGAGTCCATCGTCAACTCGCTTGACCTTCTCCATTGTCGTCAACTATCTCAATGTTCAACACCTACACATCACAAGACAAGAGACATGTTGCACACACACCACTACTCACGCCCTGGTTACTAATCTCAACACTAAATCAAAGCTTGGTCATCTCTTGGCAATCGCTCATCATTAACACGCATAAGCACATATCCACCATGTGTTCGCACTAAGCAATGCATATCCCCTGTTTAATATCTGTTGGCTCGATGCTCTTCCAAGGATCCTTTCTGCCTCCAAATCTAACTGAAAGTTAGATAAAAGCCCAAGTGCCCGAAATTTTTTCCTTGAAAAAAAAAGATAGGTCGTCATGGAACGGAGCTAATAACCTTATCAAACTGGCTGTTAGAATCGCATGCATATATCATATCGCGATCCACCAAACACGCTACAATAATATCCTCCGGGAAAGCGAATACAAAGCCAATAAAGATTACACGTTCCAACCACATGACCATTAACTTAACCATCGTCGTAGCCCAACGCTAGTAGGACGCAGTTTACAGAGGACAGTGGCCACTGGCCACGCACATTGCTAACTCTTCTCCCAAAAAGTCGTCCCAATCGTCGGGGTGCTCGGTGCTGCCCGTGCCGACCTGAGCCGCTGGAAGAGTGCCCGCTGCCGGAGGTGCTCACGGAGGCGGAGCCAGTCGTGAATGCAGTCTGGCACGACGGCAGCGAGGCACCGCTGGACCCGGTGCCCGGCGTTGGGTACGCAGAGCGCGCCGTGTCCGATCCAGCGCACGGCCGCGTGCGCGTACGCGTCGGATGTTGGCACAAATGGCGAGAAGCGCTTGGCCTTGGCGACGCTCGACGCCATCTTGGTGTCCACGAACAGCGGGGCCTGCAGCGTCCATCATCAGTGGTGTTTGTCGAAATAAATTAACTTATAGAGTTATTCTAATTTAAATCATCTACGTTCATTGTATACACCATAAAATATATTATCATTTGTATTTGATTGGGACCATAAATATTAATACTCTTCTGTATAAAGTTGATTAGCCGGTTTTATATAGTACAGAATACAAATCTTACATAGCCGGTTGTATGTGATTAGACAATTGTTGATTATAGACAATAAAGTCTTAACTTTAAAATACGTGCAGGCCTTATATTTAAGGGTGAAGGGGGGTATCATCTATAGGAAATATGATAGATCATGGAGTACCAATGATCACTTAAAGGGTTGCTCACCAGCATGTGGAAATTAGTATACTTCCTTGGTCCCAAAGTAAATGATGTTTTAAATCCCTCATGGGAACCAACGCTCAAGCTTAAAGACCAAAATATATTTCAAGAAGTAGAGATAGAGATGCAATGGGAAAAGAGAAAGATGCATTGAGAAGTGAGAAGATCAAGTATTTTTGACAAAATTTGAATGCTATAAACATTTATTTCGGGAGGAGTAAATACAATCAAATAGCTCTACTATTTGTCTTTTTTCTGTGGGACACAAAAATTGTGATTTTGTCCACAGCACATTATTGAAGTCATCAATAATGCCTCTGGCGGACTGACCGAAATCCTTGCATTTTAGTAAATTGAAGCCATGCGAGGAGGTGAGTTGTAAAAGCTAGCAATTAAAACACATGTACTTCAGGAGTAAATAGATCTAAACAGGTGGAACAAAACTTTTAGCCCATGCTTTGGGCAAATAGAGCAAAAGGGGGAGGGCTAAAGTTTTGCCATTTGCCACCCAAGAGGCCCAAAACTGGGCTAAAACGCCTGGGGGCGCGAGCCGGACACCCACTACCCCCGCACCCACCCACCCGCACTCGGTACCCTATCCATTCCACTCCCCCTCCCGTCGCTCTCGCTCTCTCCCTCCGCGCGAACCCTAGCACCGCCCGCCGCTCTCGTCCTCTCTCCCTCCGCACCAACCCTAGCCCCGCCCTCCGCCGCCGCCCAGATCTAGCTCCTCCTCCCCGGCACCTAGATCTAGCTCCTCCCCCATCCAGATCCAGATCCACGCGGCGCAGATGGACGGCTACAACGGTGACGGCTAAGCGACGGTGACCGCACTAGGGACTTTCTGTCGTAGCCTGATCCGTATTCCCCCGTCGACGGCTTCGACATGTTCTCCGACGCGGCATATCCGTTTCAGGGCTCGAGCGGCCTCAATGCTCCCCGGACGGGCATGGCGGCACTCGACC